AATGAAAGCAAAGCGCCAGGATTGATGGGCAATGAAGGAGCCACACGCACACAAAAAGGGATTGTTGCAACTCACTTAATTTATGAATATCATAGTGAAAATAACTGAAGCATCACCTGGTCAATCTCCTTCAATCGGAAACAAACCAATCACGGGCCACTCTCACCTCAAGGAGGTTCATTTCAATGTGACTGCCTCCTCGCAGATCCTTTCAACACCAACGCCGTCACAGACCAGACTGCTGGCAAAGCCCTGGCCCCCCTAGTTAGTTCAGAGTTCCTTTAGCCTTGAATAATAAATGTGCATGTGGCATCATATCATGATTCCTTTGAATATATTAATAAAACCTGTGGACTGTAATAGCTCATGTGTTTCAGGAAGATTCCTGCTCCCTTTCAAAACGTTCTGCACACCCAAAAGAATGCCCCAAAATTTTGTGTTTTCTGTTCACTGTAACTTCTTATCTGGCACAAATCTCCCCATTATGTGGCTCATTATCCAAAGTAAAGGTGTGCTCCACTTTTTCATGAATGTCTCATCAAATCAAACTCCTCCACTGATAGCACTTCTAAGCAGTTTCCTGCCATTCAGACAGAAACGATGACCCAGGTGACCTCATAGCCGCCTACGACCATGCTGTTCACACTAGCAGGGCTTCCTGCGTGCTGGTCAACATGCATGTTCTGCCCCGCTTTCCCTCTGCACTGAACACGGTTGTTGAGCACAACAGCGATACTGGGGGTTCCAGCTTTGGAGGCAAACAAAGGTTGGTCCAGACTGTGTTGTCATCCCAGAAAAGGTCCAATCTGGAGCTCAGAGTCCGGTCAACATTACAAGTTTAAAATGCTCACCCTCAGATGAGGCGGCGCCAGTCCGGGATCGCCTGGCGATACACTCGGACCTCGGGAAGTTTCCTGAGATTTGCGTTTGACGGCGTAGCCGCCCAGCCTGCCACTCGCCCCCGGGGCCTTTACAAAATGTGTCGAGGCAGCGCCAGCTTGCCTCCCGGAGAGCTGTGTGCGCATTTTGGCCGTTGTCCAGGAAAGCAGGGCAGCCGTGCAGCAGGTCCTGTCGCACATTCAGACTCTGGGCCTTTCAGTCAATATCCAAAAGACCTCGGTAACAATAAGTCACTGTCATGACAGTTACTGTCATTCTAGTCTTGGAAATACTCACCGTTTAAAGTCCTCAGTGTCCGTGTTTCACTGCTGCCTTGCCCCCTTATCAGTTGGGATGCAAACCGTTTCCTAAGAGCTTGAGGGTTCTCACGTTCACTGTTTGAACCCCTTGACTCTTGATCATCCCTCTTGTACACACTTCACTTCAAACGACCCCAAGGTTACACCTCCCAAATGCAGCCAATCGGCCTTGAACTCTCCCTGCAGCGTTTAGCTCTGTGGCTTTTTTAGCTCATTTCCTGTGTCCGCATCCATTAACACCCTTTGGATGGTGCACTTATGTGATCCGTTGTTTGTCCGTTTTGCTAATCCAGGCAAATGCAAAGCCCTGACTAAATAGTGGCTTTCTCCACGGATCGTCGTCCTGGTTTAAAACAGAAAGGGTCTTCACTGCCTCCAAGTAGGAGGGTGAATTTGAACAGAAGCATTGCATCATGTTCTTTTTTTTGTTTAACGGGTCTCTGTGCTGCAGCCAGTTTGTTCACCGCTGCACACCTTTGCTCGACCGAACAGTGTGGATGTGACAGTCCTTCCGGTAGCTCATTTTCTCTTTTTGACCCATAGTAAATGTGTTGTGTCTCGTTCCTCCCCACCAGAGAACACCAGTAGGCGACACAATATTGGCTGCTCACTAATTCTCTATCAGCGGGACAGCAATTATACTTAACCTGATTTCTCTCAAACCATCAATATCTAACGAGAATCAAACAACAGAAATGAGGGTTAAGTGGGGAGTAACTGCCGCTTAAGCCCACCCTCCTTTAACAGAATGCAAACATAAACACGTTTATTCAGACATCAGATGGAGAGAATAGGCTGGCCCATTCTAAATTAAGAGCTGAACAAAACTATGTCACCAGTAAAGCCAAGAGCCGCCTTCTTTCTCTCCCTCTCTCTCTTGCTGACATTATAAATTACAAAAGGCATATATATGCACAGACCATCTGGTAACTTAAAAATAGATCTGAAAGCTCTCCAAGGGAGTATTGAATTCAAATGGATCAGGAAACAGAAAATGCACATTGACACTGCGCTTTCAGAGCAATTGTATAATTGTACTGATAACTTTACGTGAGGTTGTGATTGAATGAGATCATCCTGCATCTAAGGATCTTGACACACAGAGCCAACGTAAAAGAACAGACGGTGAAAAAGACAGACACCAGCTTTGGCTCACGACTTCTGCTTAGAGTTATACCTCACGCAGCACAATGACAGCCAACAGGGGGGGGGTTCCCTACGGACATGTTCTTCATTTGTACTTGACAAATGTGGCAAAAACAAAACAACAAACCAGCTACTATTATTTCAACACCATTGTGAAAGGTTAAGGCAACGTTACCTGTACAAGCAGTCCATGTAGTCAGCTCCTCTGCTGTACTCGTCCCAGTATCTGTGGTACATCACTAAAACTTTTTCCTCTGATTCTAGGACTTTCTAAAAAAACAGGCACAAGCATGACATGTGTTATGGACAGAAGAATAATGCGGAAATAAAATGCACTATAAAATGCTTTTCTTTCTTTTCCTGACTGCTTACCTTGTATAACTGGCGAACATGATTCTCAAGAAAGACCTTGGTCTCTGTGTATAACCTCTCCCCCAAAGGCTCTGGATACGCAACGCACAAGGCATAAATGTCGCTGGTGTCGGAATTTAGGATAAATATGAGAACAAACGTAGTTACATTATGTTAACATACAGTTCATAAATATGTAGTAGGGAATACAAGATACTTCTTATGCTGTGAAAAAGCCCACTGACACAAAACATATCAATAACTCTTTGAAAAACTGATCTGCTTTTCATAATTAGCCATATTTGCTGTTTAAAGTCTAATACACTACACAAGCTGCGACTTGCTTTACTGCACCCAGCAGCTGTATGACTTTCTGTCCACAAACCCGTCTCTAACAATTCCCCAAAAATCTTGTGTTGCAGTTTCCATTTCAATATGGTGCAAGTTTGCATAGGATACGAGAAGCGGTCATTCCACGTGGCTCTCTCCACGTAGTCCAGCATCACAACAGCCTTGATTGTCGTCAGTAGCTTGTTCCATGTCTCGTCAAAGTCCACCACCCGAGGCTTTAAGGACATTGTACAATTTCTCTTTCAGCCTGATGAAAAAACAGCAATACAGAAGTAAGTCATTGTAAAAAGCAGGAACTTTTTAATTCAGTCCCCAAACAATGATGTTAACATGAAACCATCCACCAGCAATATGGTTTCTTTAGTAAATGGATCTTATTTGTGAACTAGGATTAAATAAAGGTTGTGCATTTTTAAGAAGCTCTCTGCATTTTATTTAGTAATAACAATATTAGGCAAATAGGTTCTTCTTTCTTTAGAATAACATGCCTGACTTAAGGATTTGTAAATAAAAAACACATTAATCAAGAGCAGCTACATTAAATAGATGTCAGGATAGACGAGAAAAAAAGTCTCTGATAAACAGCTGATCACATTACTAAAGTAGCAACAGTTGAGATACACCTTGTCCTCAAGTTCGTGGAGGCAACGCTAACGTTCATCAACAGGGTACACATTGTGATAACCAGGAAATATCAATCACTTAACGTTACCTGCGCTTCTTACCACAACACTGTTACATATAAATAAATATGAAGACCTCTATATCCGTGTCAGAATAATCACAGATTACCTGCAAGAAATATAACTAGGCCCTGTGTTGTTTCTCGTCATTCATACCAGTTGATTTCACGTCAGTGAAAACACTGAAACATCCTAAAGCACCGTTATTTTGCTATTTTATTCACAAATGCCGATATCCGTCATTCGAAACCAAGAGTCAACTATAGTTAATACGCAACCTTCTAACAGTCATGATAAAGGCAGCTAAATTAAGGTTACTAGCTAGCGGAATGCCAATCCCAAAATAGGATGGCTAATTTAGCTAAAATGCTAGCTAGCTTCTAGCATGCTACTTCTTCCTGCTCAAGTCCCAACAGTTTTCGAGGCATCGGCTCGCAGCTCGCTGTTCGTCAGCTAGCAGGAAGCTAACGATAGCCCAGCTATCGTTAGCAAATGGTCATCTTCTTTGCAATTTCCCACTGACAGCTCAGCAAAACATGGTACTGTTGTTAAACAAAACAGGTTGCTGAGGTCAAGCATGGACTTTTGAATAGTACGTACCTCTGTTTGGTATTTATTTGTTGTAAAAACTCAAGTTTCTCCGCTGTCACAGGCTTGATTTGTCTCACTTACAGGTCTTTCCTACCTCTGGGACTTTACCATTGTGTTAGATAGGGGTCGATTATGAACAAGTGTAAATTAGTTGTCACTCTTTGTCGCTCTTTACCGTGGTAAAGTACTTGGCGTTTTCTCTCGAGTATGCATGGACATAGAATACATTCTTTCAAATCCTAAATGGCTCAAATGCATACGGATACAAGACATACGAACACCCATGTATGCATTGTGCGCTAATGGTATCGCCTAAAACTACGGAAACCTTTTAGGAGATTTTTGTGGGTTCCAATCTAATGTAACGTTACTGTATTGTGTCTCTGTACTCATGAGGAGAGTAAACACGTTTTCCTCAGTGTAAATGATGATTAGCTACATCTATCCAGTCACATCTATCCGACCACATGTATTCACCAAGCACCTATTCAAGTGTTCTACTCATGATCATTTTACATAAATACCACACCATCATTTTACACAAACAAGTTATGCGAGAGAAATGTCAAGAAATAAATTGAAATCGTTCACAAATACTGCACTGTGTAGTAAACGTCATTTTTAAAGGAGTTTAAATATACGCATAATATTGTTACTTACTTAACGTTACTTAGCAACACGAATTAAAGGAACTCGTTTATGATTAACGCTCTATGTGGTTAGCAGGATATTAAAGAAAAACAAAACAAACCTTTTATTATTAACGGAAGCTTCGTTTACTACAGATCACCAGGTCACACCGACACCGAGACGTGAGTATGCCGGCCAAAATGAGTAAATTAGCTTGTTATTTGGCACTAGATAACTAAGCGTAGCTAGTTAGTCAATATGAGGAATTAAAATAATCATCTGCTCTTACACACTGGCTAAAATGTCCCTCATAGATAACGTTAGCTCGACCCAAATTATTCGTTGATATGTAAACAATATGTCTGATCGGAGAGCAAATTATTGGTAGCTTGTGCAAGCTCAACCTACAAATGAACGAGAGAGAAACCCTCCTTTATTTAAACTTAACGTTAATTGAACAGACGTTAACCGGCAAGACGTCCTTGCTGACAGCGCCAGTCACAATGATCCAAGTGAAGAACAAAGAGGACTGTTTGCCTGAAACACCTGATGAGACCAGCAGAAGACAGAGTAAGGGTTTATATTTGTCCTTTCACGTCTTGTGTATGTGCAAATTGTAACTGTAAAATAGCCATGTCAGTATTCATGTTATGTCTAACATACTTAGGACATAAAAGGAATACTGACACATTACAACACCTATCACACACTGCAGTGAAAGAGTTGATGTTTCTGTTAGTACAGGCTGTGAAATGAAATAGCTTGATGAGTAGCTCGTAAGTTCTTTCTTTACCATTTTACCCTTCCGATTGGCTTTGTTTAAGGTCTCATCGAGTCCCATCCTGAGACGACCAACAACCTGCCGTCTGCGTGTGTGATCAGCACACAGCTACTACCACCACCACTGATATGTGACGGCCCTCAATACTACGGGGTGCAGATGGATCTGTTGCAGGAGTACTACCTAACACAACTGCCAGGTAACACTTGAAAACCCGACACACAAGTGTCACATCACAACGACACAGATGCAGCATGGTTCCCTCTGAGTGCCCCACTGTGCTGCTCGTTAGAAAAGCCTTTTTACAGAAAGATCCTTATCATCATCATTGCCCAGAACTGAGGCAATGGTCTCACAGGATCTTACAAATAATGTGCTATAAATGAAATACTAGTGTTATGCATTAGAGAGAATGTTTATTTATTAGTTAACACCTTTTTCTCAAGGTCCCAGGTTTCTTGAAGGAGGGACACAGAAAGGACACAGCTCAGAAACAATGTGGGCCACACAGAGAAGCCCGAACAACAACATGGCCATGGTAGCACTGAATAATAGTATAACATTCCTGTCATCTTATAATATCAATATTAAACCAAAGATAGGGTGACATTACAGGAACTACATCTCTCCTGCTGTTGTTGCAGAGCAGCAACATCTATATATATAGTAACATCAAAAAGAAATACAAGATGAAACCATGAATAAATTAAAAGGTAAACTAAATTATATACGAGAGAGAGAAACCATGTTAAATGTTTTGGAAATTCACTTGCCCAAAATGTAAAATCAACAGGATCAAAACCTGTGTATAAAGCTCTCTATCGAGGAGGATATCATTTGATCTTGTTTAGTGGTGATATGTAAGTACGGTAAGCAAAGTACTTAAGTATTTCCACTGCATGATATCTCTGAAAGTAGGAAATATTGTGCCATTTACTGCTCTACGTTTTCAGCTATATTACAGGTATAGTTGCTTATTACTTAACAAATTCAAATTAGCTCCACATAAAACAACTAAAGTAGTAAAATGCTTCTGACGTATACCACATATTGATGTGTTACTAATTATAATATAATGATAAACACCAGAATATAATATAAGTCACAGCGGCTAATTGAGCATTATTGCTGTTAATATTTAAAAACTCTTACTTATCAGGAGAAAAACATTTTTTCTATGCTTTGACCTCCACAAGGAGAGTGTGATCAATTTTCATAATATTAGTGTGATTATGATTATGATTGGGGGTTAACTTTCCCTTTAATGCAAAGCATCTGAATATATCCTCCATCGCTGCTTCACTTTCTCCTCCAATGGCTGAGAAAAGGTCAATCAAATAATAGGACGTAGAAAATACGTCCTCTATCTACCTCCATAAAGCCTGCAGAGGGAGCCAGCTCCTCCCGAGCTGTGGGTTGGGAAGTAGTAGAATCAGTTGTGAGATAATGTTTTTCTGTGCCTACACATACATTTAAACACACAGAATCCCCGGCTACATGAGAAACCTGATTTAATAGTAAAACACTTCTCTACAACATTCCATCCAGGTATTCAATTTAGATTTACAGCAAAACTACCAGCTCTGACTCATGTCGGGGGGGGGAGCCAACCATGCCGCTGACATCAGACAGCCAAGTGACGTCATGGAGATGTCAGTGTGTCTAATTGTAAATTGCACACATAGTGTCGGTGTGGTAACGTTTCAGTCGGAGAGAAGACTCTGAAGGGGGGCGGCTTGTCTTGGGAAGACCTGGGAGTAGCTAGAGTATGGCTGTAACTGGGGATGGGACAGAAGCAGGTACGTTCGCCATCATCTCGTTCACGGACGGGTCTGGGAAGAAAGAAATGTTCTCATTTAGGAATGTCTGATGATTTAGTCAGTGATTTGAAACGACAACATTCAGTTTGTCGTTTCAGTTCATTGGTGTTGGAGATGAAAAAGAAATGTGTTGTTAATGTTAGGCTTTTTAGATATCAATCAAAATTTTTGATATTTTTAGACGTTTTCAAGAGGTCGAGAGCTTAATACATTTCCTGAAATAACATCACGAGTGGCCTCATCTTAATAGGCAAAAAAAGGCCGTTGAGATGTCAATCAGAAGCATACCACTGTTTTCCTCAGCTACGCTCTCTGCGTGTTTTTCTCTCTCTGTGTGAAATGCTTCGGTGCTGTGCCCACTCAGGGCACATAGCACTGACATCACTGCTCCTCCTGGAACAGGCCCCCCAGCACAGACATGTAAACAGGAGGCGGAGTAATGCGATGAACATTGACATCGGTCACCGCATCGCACTCACTACGCCGCGTATCCGCTTCCCCTTTTCTGGAGCCCACGTATCAGGGATTTATTCATCAACAGGCGGCGTGACGTGAGCCAACACGGGACAGTAGAAGCTGATAGAAGGGTTTGTCGTTCTTTTTGTCTCAGTCTCACACTGATTTGATGGGGCAGAAAAGGAGAAAATCAAACTCGTAGTAAGTAGTAAACATGCCGACTGACGCGTTGCACCAGACGTTCCTAAGCACAAACTTAACCTTGTCTCTAGCTACGTAAATCAGGCCAGGTGCGACTAGCGCATAGCTAGCAAACCAAATCGACAAAGCTTGAGATAACGATGTCAAAGTTTGAAGTAATTGATTATATAACAACATTTGTTATACCAACACTTGGGAAACAAGGATGATTTGAAAGGACATTTAAAATGTCATTCAAGTTAAATAATCACTGTGCTAGTTATGCTTGCACAGTTAAATATGTTTCTTTCATTATAAACTCCATGAATAACAACTCATATTTCTCCATGTTCATATAAACAAGACAAAGTAATACGTACATTTAAGAAGTGTTTCTGATGGTCTCTGATATTTTCTGCCGTTATGTTATAGCTTGTGATTCGATGATCAGGGTGTGGCACAGTTGTTTTTCAACCAACCCACTCATCCATAAGTCTTAGCAGGTATACCTTGTCTTTTGCAGCTCGTTTACTGACGCCAGTACACACCCACCCCCTCGATAATCACCACACCGCCAATCGTTACGGACATATTACATTACATGTCATTTAGCTGACGCTTTTATCCAAAGCAACTTACAATAAGTGCATTCAAACATAGGATATAGAAACCAATCGTGTTGACGGAAGTGTTGTTTTGTCCCCCACCTACCACCCAGGACTCTCGGCTTACTGGATGGCCTCCCAGCTGGGGGACACTGATTCCAGCCTCCCCCAGGAGGCAGCAGGGGCCAGCGCTCCCTGCTCCATGGAACAAGACGAGGTCTTGCTGAAGAGGGAGTCCCTCCTGATGAGGAACAGGTAGAGAGGACCATTCATCATAGCATCGGTTGATTCTACCTACAGTGCATGAGCATTGGTGAATATGTGACTCGTGAAACTGCGGGAAAAGATGGGTTTAAGGTAGTTTTTTAAGCGTTTAAGCATTGTTTTGGGAAATATGATTATTGAGTTGATTGAATACTGGAAACTGGGGTACCACCACATCTGAAGCCCACTAATAAACATGTCATGTAGGGGGTTATAGAGTAATGTTGCAGCCAAATTGACACATTGTCACTGGACCGTGGCTCTCGTTGCTAACATAGTGCCCTTCAAAATAAAGGTTGTAGCCACCAAGGTTGGCCCTTGACTCCTGTCCTATCCGGAAGGTTTTCGCAAACGTGGTCCTTGTTACCATCGTCGAAGCATTCTGTCTCCACACGAGAACGCCTCGTGTAGCTTTCGTAATGTGACCTTTCTCTTTCCCTTTGTGTAAACTGGTTCATGGTCAGCTCTTGGTCAAATCTGGGAGAAGAACCAAAAAGTTTGTTTTTTTTCCTTTACTGTGGCTGTTGTTGTTACTTCCAGGAAAGCCGCCCGGGTGACCAGATTAAAGAAGAAGCAATACATTAGATGCCTCGAAGAAAGAACGCTCGCACTCGAAAGAAAAAATGTGTCTCTGATTGCGGAAATCAAAGCGATGAGACACATGCACCGAAAGTAGATGTGCGTACTTTTGATTCTACCTCCATGGGTTTGCTTGAGGACTCTGGCTTTGCTGACACACATGTACAAAATACTGCTGGTCCTTGCAATAAAAATGTGTTTATTCAATGAACGTCTTTGGCTCTGACTTATCAAGTGCGTCATAAAGCAGCAAACATACAGCACCTTGCGTCAGGTCAGGGTTATTACCAGTGGAGGAGTTTACGCTCCTTTAAACAAGGTTACTTCCAAAACATTAAGCAGGAGAAAGAAGGAATTCATGCAGGGATTGGAGAGGCCCAACTGGAGACAGAATGAGAGGCTGAAGGCCCACTTGCAGCGCTGGAGGACAACAGACAGAACGTGCAACCTACACATGACCCCAAGGCCTTTGCCGTTACCACCATACGTGCACAGCATTTTTCCATTCCTTTTTGTCAACAGAATTGGGTCCCATTTTAAATATTGAGTCAATTGATTTCTGTATGTCTGATTCCCTATAGAATTGCTCCCTGAAGCCAATCGTCTTACAAAGGATTTACAGAGCATTGTATGTGTTTTGTGGTATTCCAGAAATTGTGATGCTCAATGGAACAAACTGCCTTCATCTATTATGGCCTTATTATTTGTTTGGGCAGATTCATCCTGTATTTTTAAACATTTTCAAGTTTTGAAAACTGGTGCATGGTTTGTACAAAAACCAAAACAAAAGAAAAAGCTAGTTCTCACTGCCTTTATCTTTTCTTCCCCACACACAGGTAATATTGATATTGTTCAGTTTCACTATGAGTTGTTTTAAGCTTATGGTGCCGTGTTAATCTCAACATTGTTTTTTTTTGTGCTCATAATCTGATGCGCTGACCCGACTGCCACCACGGTCACCAGCAAAGCAAAGCGAGGTTTCCCCAGTCACGTCTTTTGTTGCCTTTCGTAGATGACACATGCTATGGAACAGCCACCAAGTTGGTCACCTCCAGTGGATGTGCCAAGGGCGAGAAAAGTTCGGCCTGGTTCTGAGTGATGGCATTCTCTAACTTACAACAGAGGAACCGATATAATATTTACAATTATGGAACACCACAGTTACACTCAAGACTTGGGCCTAATGTGAAACCTTATTACTGTCCTGTCTTTAACAAAACACAGTCAATATTTGCCTTCCAGCAGATAAAATGCACAGGTAAACTTCAGAGAAAAATAAATTATGTTCAAGTGAATTGGCTCCTACACCCATCATTGAAATATTACTGGTCAAAAAGAGAAGATGGAGGGCTTTGTGCAGCAGTTAAAACGTGTCTTTATCCCTGGGAAGTCACTTGCAAGTATAGTTTGGTTTGCCTGTGATGTGGAAAAATGCTTTAGTCTGTGATCTTAGTTTTCATAGTTTGAAACGCCTCTGAACAATGTTTTCTTAAACGCCTGCGTCAGGCTGTCACCTCAGTGTATTATTCTCGCATTAAATGCAATGCAGGTGCAAAACCAGCAGGCTGCAGTGCAGCATTCTGATACATTCTGAGGTTTCCAGCATTATAAGTGATATCAACATGTCCATATTGTCTCAGGACAGGACCTCACTGTGTTTACGATAACCTCCGCTAATCTCACCTCATGTTGAAGAGAGGTTTGGTGTGAGTATCACCCTGTCACAGGCAAAGTTAAGCCCCGGTGGATTTGACTGTCAAGGTCCTGTAATTAACTGGCACTCACAAATATGGGTAAGTAGGAAATGACAGATGTTCGGGTCCATGACATGTCATTGACCTGCGGATAAACAGCAACGGTGTTGAGTCACAGGCTAAATAAAAACAAAAAGAATTGCAGGGTAGCGTCTTGCAGTTAACTGTTATCATTGACTAAATATTACAGTCACATAGGCATCCTGTGCCAATCGTTTTAAATCCATTCAAGCACCGTTGCACTTTATATGTGTATTATAAGTATTCACACACACAGACACACATATATGTGTATGTATGTACATACTAGTGAAATGTCTATGCTTCCCTTTGGTGTCCCTGTTTTTGTTCATCTGTCGATTTGTCTGAACGTTTAGAGCAACGGAAAACCCGCAGTATTATTACCGAGCATTCAGGGCCAATAAAGATAATTCTAATATTGATTGTAGCCTTCTACCTAGAATACGTATTAGTAGAATAGATTAAATTATATAAGGAGCTCGACTGAATACATACACGAATGAATGAATACATGCCCGATGTTTTCTATTATAGTCTATAATTGTATGTATATATTTCTTACTTAATTGTTGGCCATTCTTCATGAACTTGCCACAGATGTCCATCTATTACATCGTAACCACCCACTTGAACCGGAACCTTTTAAAGGTAGGTTTACGTACTGTGGGATATTGTAATTTCTCTGTGCATTCATTCCGCCGACGTCCCACGATTTGTTACACAACCACAAAGAGAAGGACTACAGAGTGTACAGTTCAACGTACACACATTTATCACCACGCCGCTCTTCAAAAATTGATTGCAAAGATAAACATCGAGTTACAAACAATGAAAGACATTCGACAATGTTTCCCTAGTTTATTTTTGTTGTTGTCTCTCTGGTTTCCATGCGTTAAAATTGACACGGCCACAAGCATGCTGATTGAATTTTAATTAGTGTAATTTAATTAAGTGCGAAGCCGTTTCTGAACTAGTTTTTAGAAATCCGACATTTCGTCGAGCACGTGAAGGCAACACACTAGCGGATGTAGCAGCATAGAGTACATCGGCAACCATGCAGCGCTGAGACCAACCCCCCCCCGCCTTGCAAAACAACGATGTCCTCGAATTCACTAATTTCGTTATGAAGGAATAGTGAGTTACATCAAAATGCGTTTGTGGAGACAACCGGACGCTCGGGAGGAAATTACAAGTGCGGAGAATTGAATGTGAAACCGAAGGCGGTGTAATACAGGCACTTTCTGCCCCGGACGTTTGGACTGGGGCCGTCAGGGCTGCTCCGAATTATTAGCCTACTTTCCGTCGTGTTTTAAATGACGGGACCTCGCCAGCTCAGCGCAGCCCGCCGCAGCCTCAGGGGAAGGGCGCGCAACGCTAACAGACACCGGGGTTTGTAGTTTGCGCCCGGTCCGACTATCAGCGGTACCGCCCCGTTTTTCCCCCCTCCCTCCCTCTCGCTCTCGCTCTCGCGCTAACGTTATCCGCACGGCCCGGAGAGAAGGCTGGAGACACGGTACGGAGTAGCTTTGGACCGCTTTACCACACACCGGCTCCCACCATGGGGAATACAACCTCTTGCTGCGTGTCGTCGAGCCCCAAACACAGGAGGAACAACCACTCCAGGCTGGAGCCCTACCGGCCGGAGCCCGAGCTGAGCCGGGAGGACACGGGCTGCAACCTCCAGCACATCAGCGACCGGGAGAACCTGGACGGTGAGATGCAGACCCCGCTTCTCCCTAACGTGTACATGCGATAATAAACAACGCGCACATTCTACTATTACGAATAGTAGCAGCTGTGATTGTTATTATATGTAGTGCGGTAATGTATTTGCGGTGATTTGCCCACACCCTTTGAGTTGTGCGCCGTTACCGGGGAACGGATGAGAGCTTGCAACATCTGTGCAAGGGACCCACCCACCCCATTACGTCAATGGCTAACACCACTGTGGGCTTCCTTCTCGTAGGACTTCTTGTTGGAATTCAGCCATATGGCAGTGGGTACGGGGAGTTAGTTAAAATACTAACCAATAATACTATCGTATCTATTAGTTAATGGTGTATTCCAACCTTGTTCTACACCGACGTACATTGAAACCCTACACTGCTGCTTCTGCCTGGTTATTTGGTGGTCCCGAGAACTGACCCTGAGATCACGTCATCATATCCACCATGTGCCTGTGTGTGTGTGTGTGTGTGTGCGTGTGTGTGTGTGTGTGTGTGTGTGTGTGTGTGAGGTTGGCCCAGTGTGTCAAAGGCTGATTGTGAGTTTGTGCTGCAGTGGGGAGGTGACGCGATGATGACGGGCAGTGTTGTGTGGAGAGGTGTCCGTCCACTTCCTACAGTGGGAACTGTGCAGAAAATTACGCGTCACACATCAACAACACACACCGCTCATCAACACCAACACAGTCACACCCCACAGTACATTTTAAATCTGACGCCTGCAGGCCCCATCGGGATGTTGAAGAATGGTTTGGTGGAACATACTTCGACTTGGAACCATACAGCTGCGGGTAACCAAATAGGCTCAGTTGTTTGCATAGGTAAATCTCTAAAATCCTATCTGAAAACAGCACAATTCCATTTCTAACGTGACAATCCGCATCATGTTTTTACAGAATATGAATTAATAGTCCGCCCATCCTTCCTCTGCTGCTTAACTGGGCCGAGCAGCCCACACAACCTCTTCCTAACTCATTTCAAGGCCGTGTGAGATGAGGCCATTCCTCGCAGCGGGTTCTGAATCCACCCAGGGGTGTCCTCTTAGTTGGACGTGCCTAGAATTCGTTAGCAGCGAGACTCCAGGGGCATCCTAATCAGATCTCTGGACCACAGTAACCTTAATCTTCCCATCTGAAGAAGCAGCAGCAGTTCCGCCCTGAGCTCGTTCACCTTACGTAGAAACTCTTGTTAGGTTCCACAATGACATTCTTTCAATCAGCCATAATTGGGAATAAATCTCTATTAGATCATCTCAGAGCAGCCTGCAACGGGTCATCTTCAAATGTCTTGTGTTGTCCGACCAACCGTCCGAATTCTAAAGATGGTTAGGGTTATACAACATGGAAAATTTGAGAAGCTTGAACCAGCACTTGTTTAGCATTTGTGGTTGAAAAAAATACCTGCCAAAGACTAACAAAGTAAATATCACAGCTCTAATTTTAATTCTGACATTTTATGGACTTAGAAGTGAATTGGGGGGGGGGCGGGCGGTCCAGTTAAAGCTATTTACAAAATCCTTTAGATAGTGACTTTTGACCTCGTCACTATATCTCTAATGGCATTACACAGGCAGAAGACTGCCCGTCTTGTGGAGTAATAAACCACTAGATTCCAGCGAGTGAAGTGTGGTTGATCTGGTCTTGACAACTTGGCGAAGAGTAAATACAGAAGTGTTGAAGGTGGCCGATGCAGTGCGATTTGACATCTGAGCTTGGACGAGACGAAATGAGACGAAGTGTTTCTCTTGGTTGATTGTTTTGTCAGAAATTAGATGATTGATTACAAATGTGTGTTTGTGTGCGGGATCCACGTTGTGCCAAGCATGTGATTGCTGTCAGTGGTGACGACACAGGGTCACAATCTCGTGACTACACAAAGAAATCACACGCATAAGTGTTCCTTGTGGGCGAACGGGGGTCTATCAGGTGCCCCTCCCGCCTCTCCTAAATGACTGTGTAATCTGATTGTGCCCCCAGCAATCGCTCTCCCTGTCTCTAATGACCCGGTGCGTTCCCACCGTAGCCTACACACCGGTTGGAGGTTCACGCAGAGCTAATCTACGCCCTTTTTGCGCTCCGCAAAAAGGGCGTAGAGAAAACCCACCCCATCCTCCGAGCTCTCCAGCTTGCGTCGTTCTGCTGCCGGCTTGTGTGGTCACAGAGACGCTCACTCAGACTAACTGCATGTGATATGAAAAATAAAGACGTGCTTTCTATGAGCACGTTGATCTATGAAAGGCTTTTTAGATATTCGGTGTCGGCTGACACACTGGCATGGGCTTCACACGGCACGCAATGTGTTTTAGAACTTTCATCTAAATGTTATAAATCTAACATGAGGGAGGGGTACTTTAATTGAATCCATTTTTTAATGCGAATAGAGAAGAAGGGAGAAATTGTTTCTCCATTTTTTTCATCATAATCACTGTTTACTCATGCAGTGAAAGTATGTCAGCAACAGGCCCTTTTGTGAGCCAGATCAAGATAACAGGAGGAAGGACATGAGGGAATTCTGGGACGATCAGAGACAATCACTACCGATTGTCCTCCACATTGGCATGTTAACGCACAACCTCACTTCCTTCACCGTCACTGAAAGGGGGGGGGGGCATTCTTTGAGATTTACAGACCCTCCACATAAACAGCGGAGCTATTTCTAGACTAATTTGATCAGCGAGCACTGCGATGTGTGTCGCTGCACAGGAGCTCTCAGGATTAAGAGAGCGAGGAAAGCGAGATGGAAGAGGAAACAGATGGATCTCTCTCTCTGTTCTAAAAAAAAATATTTTTTACTTAACATAGACATCTGTAAATGAGCAATGGCCCCCGGGCCCCGACATTTGTCTCTGTCTCATTGGTGTTGAAGTTAGTTATTCCTGGAGTGCACACACACTCACACACATATTGATGAGTCTCGCTTGCAGGCTAATTGAAATCTGCACATGGATTATTCATGCCTGATTGGTGAGCCTGGGGAGTCTCCTAACTGTGACTTCCAGACGCGGTGACCTACTATAACGCGGTATGATCACATTCAGTTGGGATTGTAGCTGAGGTGAAAACCACTCGTTTCTGTGTTTTTTAGTGTCTCGGTGATTAACATTTGTGATCATTAATGAGAAGTAGGGTTCTTCTTGTCAATATATTCATCTTCGCACTAATTCCCTCTATTTCAATTATTTTGTCTCCTTTTTTTTCCCTGTTCACTTGGGTTTCATCAGTAATATAAACCAGGGCAACTAACGATTGTCTCCTTTATCAATTAATCAGTGGATCATTTCCTCGGTTTACTGACCAGCTTTAGTAGTTTTGGGAGGAAGTGGGTCAGAGTTGATAGATAAAGCAGTAATGAATATTTGGCTAAACAGCAGAGCTCATGTTCGGCAATCGCTGGTTCTAAATTCATTCAGCATTTTACCAACAGACAAACACAGAGAAACTGTGATGCCATTTTTTTCTCTCTCAGACAGATCAATCATAAAATAAGCCAAACAGCGGTTTGTCTTTAAGTTGGTGTGATAAACAGGGTGTGACTCTCACTTATTTTTGCAACTTGATCTTTTCAACACAATGTGACCAGTGCTGTCACTATAACCATCTAACTGTTGCCCCCTGCACCGATGCTGAAAACAGCATCCTCCCAATCAGTGGTTAAACGCATATTCATTCAGTATTTCCCACATGGGAAGTATGATCCTATGCATTTTTTCTTTTTGATATTGCAATTTAACATGGTAATATTCGCTCATTTTGCACAGTGCATTTCCTTTCGCTGCTCTCCCTCCGTCTCTGTCACTCACACGTCTCTCTCTTCTGACAGAAGTTGCAGACTTTGCGCATTCAGCACGACGTTTGTATAGGCGTGAATCTCTGTTTTGTCTTACAAATTAATATTGAACAAATTATTCCAGTTCAGGCGCCCCCCTCCCCACACACACCCACCCACCCACACACACACACATTGACGTTGGATCTGTGGGAAACACTGTTGCAATATTTCACAGAATGTCTCTCACAAAATTGCTTCACATATCAGCGTAGCCACACCAACAGCACACTGGATGTTTTGGTTCTTCAGTTGGTTTTAATCACAAAGTTGGTCTCAAAATGTCATTCTGAGTGGCATTAAAAAAGAGCAGTCTTAAAAAGCGCCACTTGCCTTCAGCTTAAAGAACCCTGTTGAGGCATTTTGGAACATGAAAGTCACACAGCTTCGGGGGAAGTTGGCAGATTAAACACATCAGTGGACAGCAAATTAATCTTCAACATAAATCAAACCATTTGACGGAGGATTTGCTGCTTTTCTTTCTGTATTTGGTTAAATCCAGTGGTACACATTTGTGCTCCATGAAATTATAGTTATAGAGATTTTAGGAAATTATCACATGTGTTTACAACTTTTGGGTGTTCCCCATATTATCAAAAGATAATGGGCCAATTAATCAACAATGATAATTGCTAGATCCATCCTTACACGGACCAATCAAAAGGAGTTTGCATCTGGAGAATGAAAAGTATTTAATAATTATCCAGAGCTTTGGTGAGGACACGTCATGTGAGTACATGTCACTTACTCAGTAATTTCAGTCATTGATATGTTTGGTATTTTTGTTTTGTGTTAAACCACGGACAACTTATTGATCATTGGTTTTCTCTGTTCGTGTTTACGTCCTGAGAAGCATCTCTGCCCCAGAACACAAACGGCGAGCCGCTCTTCACAACCAGCACACCTGGTTTTTACGCTCAAGCATCGTAGCTGCATTAAATCGAAAGAAGCACAAGTGGTGTTGAGCTTCCGAATCGTGTCTGCTGAAGCTTCTCAAAATCGTTGCCTCATAAAAACAGTTCATCTCTTTTAGATTGTCGCTCACAGAAAGCGGGCGATTTTCCCACAGTGATCACAAATGCTTTCAGGGAGACTTCCAACACAAGTGAAGAGATTCACTGAGCGTTAATGAAAATGCAATTGCCTGTGACTCTCCTCTCATC